ACTTCGAATCATGCTTAAATATAATGATTATAATAAATAGTATTAGAATAAAATACTTATGTAATACTTTTTTTTTACTATGGAAATAAAGAAGTTAATGTATGAATCGAATATAAATAATGGGCTTACATATTTTAGATTGTTACGTTTTTAACACTTTTCTTAAGTTTGGTTTCACGTCTGTCTGTGATCAAATCTTGCGCGCTCGATTTGAGGCACTTTTTGAAGATGAAAAATTCTGAAAATTGGTATAGACCTTGGTCTTGGATGACAATACAATAATCCGTAAAAAAATTTTTTAACTAAAAAGTAGAAAATAAAAAATTAAAAATTTTTTTTTAAAAAACACTTTTCTAAAAAAACAAAAAAATAATGAATAATTTAAAAGTGTGTGGCGCTCTTACACTTGACATATTATACCACACACTTTTAAATTTTTCATTATTTTTTTGTTTTTTTAGAAAAGTGTTTTTTAAAAAAAATTTTTTTTAAATTAATCCAGTTAAACTAAAAGAAAATTTAATTAGCGCACACGTCCCCCCTACCGGCAATACAACGTTCAAAAAACCTTACAGCTAATGGCCATAGTTGCCGGGCTTACGATCAATTAAAAAAAAAAATTTAATTAGCACTTATATATTATTTATAAGAGATAATAAAAAACAAAAGTAACTATATAAAAATAAAAATAAAAATAAAAATAATAAAACTAATTTAACTATTAAATACCCACTTTAACTATAATTGACTTGATATTTTTTTCTAAAAATATAATAATAAGTCATTTCACATTTGGATACTAGTTTGTTAATTTTACAATTATTGCAACACTATTTTAACACGCCATGTGTCGTACATTTTTAAAAAAAAAAAAGCAGGTAAGTGGATGTCACTCTGCTGTACAGTAGGTTACAAGTGGGTCAATGTATAGTGGATTTTATTAAACTTGAATTCAATGATAAAATATCATTGTATAAGAAAAACGATTCTGAGCGGAGACGGTTGGTCAGTCTGGATATTTTATATTGTTATTATTTATTATATCCGGTAAGTTGAATTAATATTATAATATTATAATTTTTTATTGGTTTCTATGGTGATACACAAAGCGTTAGAAATTAAAATCCCATTTTTAGCAGTTTTTCGTAATTTTTCGGTGGTTTTTCCCGTGGAATTAAATAACTATTGATAAAATCATCGAAAAATGACCTCTCTAAAGTACCATCTTGATTTAATTTTCTAAAAGATAAAGTACTATATGTGGGAATCGAAGCACTCTTTCTGGTAAAAATGTTGTATACAGGATAAAAAAAAACACCATTGTAAAACTATACTAGCTTACTCGCTCCGTTTAGAGTCTAAAATACTAATTCTACTATGTACACATTCACTCTGTGCATAAAGAATTATATTATAATAGAATCGTCATTTCAACTTAAGTTACCGATTGCAGATTATTTGCATATGTTGTTCATGTGTATAGGTACATTCAAGAGTATCTAAAGATATACTTTATGGCTTATAGTTTATACTATTCAGTATTTACCTATAGGCTATAAGAATATTCCCTTAAAAATAAAATTTTTGTGTCACATATTTAGCAAACATTGTATTTTCTTTAATTATTGTAAGAATCGATGCTATAGTACTGGTTTCGACATAATTAAATGTAACTATCACCGTAGTTTGAAACGAACTAATTAAAAATATCACATAATATAATTTATAATAATATGAAAACTATAAAAGAACAACGCATACGCACATTGAATCTGCAGTAGGTCGATGAAAATCGCGCCTTACAGTATTTTAGGTTTTATATTAATATATTATGTATTGTTATTATTATTATAATTACGATTCATAATGTGGTGAAATAGTGAATATAGAAATAGGATTTATGTATTATATATAATATTATTTATAAGGCGCTATAACTCAGTCGAAGCAGATGTGCTGCGCACGTGTGTTTAATATCATATTATTACATACATATTATATATATATATATATATTGGTGTTATGAATCTGTGGACTATGGAGGTGGAGACCATGTAAAGGGTTAATTATATGTATATATAGGTGGTTTAATATAACGCGGTGATACTCGATCAGTAGCGGCGGGTGGCAATATTCCACCCCCGTATACATACATTATACTCACGTAAGTATAGATAGGAGGTGCGAGCAGGGATTAATAACCTAGGGCGCGAGCGCACACGGCCACGTTCACTTTTCCGCTCTCTTGAGCTCATTTATGTGTATGCACCGCGCCACCACTCGTATTATTATATATAATACGTTGGTGCCGTATAATATAATATATATATATACATTATGATATGCTTACGCGTAAAATAGATTGTATTATGTTGTCGCCCTATATCCCTCCCACCCCCCCCTTCAAATCATGTTGTTGTACCCACGTGGTATTGTATTTTGGTTTCAAAGCTGATATACAGCTGTATAGAATACGTAGGTAATAATATAGCGTTAAACGACGATGTTTACCTAAATATCGGCACTATTTGAAATATATAATATTGATGCGTAATATACTGCTTTATATCGACACAATATATTAGTGAAAATAATACTTTATAATTATAAAATGTGATATTATTTTATAATGTTTTCGATGTTTTTAGAAAATATAAGTTAAATCTACCCTTTTATTAATGGAAAAATAAATAATTTATTGTAGGTAATATAAATAAATTTTAAAATATTTTTAGAAATAAAGGCTTGGCTGACACACCGTATTTGATCATAATCGTGTTTCGTGACCAACAACAAAGCAGATACTAAAAATCTACGATACAGCAGAGCAACTTTTCCGGTTTTTTTTCCTTGAAAAAAATAAATAAAATCCACGAGTTTTGAATTTGCCTACTATCAAAAAGCTCAATGTATATTAGCTATATATAAGCGAATATTGGTTTATATTGATGTCAATAGGTCATACTTATTTGTGTAGAATACACCATTTCAACCAGACATACACTATAATCACAGATTATGACTCAAGCAAATGGAAATTCTACTACAAAGATAGATTTTGTTATTCAAAATATAATTTTGATTTGCTGATCCTTTGATATTAAAATGCATGTGAATATATTTTATTGCACTGTTTTTATTCGATATATTAAAGGATAATAATTTACAAGTTGGCATATGAGTTGAAAAAAGATTCATTATATTATCGTGCAAATTAGAATTCCAGAAACAAAATTTAAATATATTAGGTACATTTTAAAATTTAACAATGAAATACCTAGGTATATATTATTACACAATATAGTATAACAGTTATACTAAAAATGTAATATAATTTATAATATAAAATATACTATAACGGGATATATTGTAGATATTTTGTAGCTAATAACGTCAGTAATACAGTAATAATAATTAAATTAATTTTTTTGTATCGTTTTTTTTTTTTTATCAATACAAGAACGAAAAACACAGTATTTCAAATTGTCATCATGTTCTATTTACCTACCTACTAACCTAAAACGTGTGTTTCATAATAAATCTACAGCTTTAATTAAATCTATAAAACCGAATTTTCAATCATTTAATTATAATATGAATAAACCCAAACATACAAATAATATAGCCTATTATTGAAAAGTGAAAACAATAGAAGGTATAGCCGCATATAGGTACTAAAGAAGTGATAGAAAAATATTTTATAATATTATATTATATAAGAGTATAAGGCATTTTTTTTGAAGTAGTGTCAATTTACCCCCTTTGCTGAAATCGTCCTGTCTTTGCATCTTTATTAAATAAATGCATTATCATAGTACAGAAATACAGTAAATATTAATTTTCTAATAATAATAATTTAAAAAAATTTCATCTACGTATTTTCGATAATTTTTGCTATAACTCTATATAAGTATATAACATAATATAAGGAATCTTGTTTTGAATTTCCAAGCTTTTTTTTTAAAAAAGTATAGCTCTATGCTTTATACAACATTACAGTAAAAAGGTTATTTCTTCTAAATATTAAACCATATTGGCTAATATAATGGTATCACCATTGACATATTATTTGCAGGTTACTATGATCTACATAAAATATTATTATAATACAATTATATTCAAAACATAAATTGAGTTTCATATATCAACTATAATAAATTTGAAAGAAAAATGCATTAAATATTACCTAAATATTTTTTGATAAAAATTAAAAACAAAATGTATACAAAGTATCAAAATGAAACCAAAAACAACTCCAAAAAAGAATAACGGGACATTTATAGTTTGACAGATGGCCGTGAAGTGTTTTTTAAGGGTGAGCTACGGACGAGGGTGGAAAATTATACTTGCTTTATTACACGGCTATTAATAATCTGACAAGTGGTCTTATGGTTACCCATGAAAGTGCATTTGCAAGCATTTATTTATACCAGAAAAACGTGTCCTTGCAGAATCACAAGATAGCGTTATAGGTCTTTCATCTGTTAACGCAAAAGCTTATATGTTATAGCATATAGTTATTAACTATTACTACTAGAATACTATATTATAATAAGAGGTATAACTATTTAATCATAGTCTCACAGTATTCGTTTTATCAAGATTTTTTCTAAATAATAACATATGTCATACATAACCTTTAATCATATATAACTTCAGTATTAAATATTAATTTGACAAAACAGATTTTATTTTTTTATATCAAATATTGTCCTCATCATAAATCTCAAATATATTATTTTAGACTATTGAGATATTTTCAAAAACACCTAGGTATATTTAAACTAAAATAGCTAGTATACTAGTAGCGTCTATATTTCTAAAATAGTATAATAAACATATTTTTTTAATTGATAAATACCTTAAGCTGTTAGACGAAGAGTAGGATTTCAAATCAAGAATTTTATTCAAGTCAATTCTGAAAGGATAATAAAAATGTATCAGTATATTATCACAATTTTATGAATTAGTTTTAACATTAGTTTATAACCTTCAATAAATTACCTGCTATTTGTTGTCTCGATAATTTCAGAACTTCCATTTATCGATCTATAATATAAGTAAATAAATATTTAAATTTAAAATAGAAATATGGTGACAAATACAGATACAGTTTTAAAATTAAATTATAATATAAATAATATTACCTAATCTTGGTTTGCAACGTTTCCAATGTACTTCTGTCTACTAAGTCGACTTTATTGATGAGTATAATATCAGCTAATGCAATTTGTCTGAAATAAAATTACAAACAAGTGTATTTATAGCACTAAAGAAGACGTTCTTTTTAGTCGTATATTTCCTTCATCAATAGGTACACACAAAATTTAAAATACACTAGTTTTTTATAACGTAGTTTCGTTTGTTCAATTGCCATTGGATTGATTTAAAATATACACTCACACACCCATAAATGTATATACATCAACAGAAGTTGTTTAGATATTTCACTTTATACGAAATTGGAGGAGGGCTGATGATTTGCAGATTTGATTATGTATACCGAGACGGATCTCCGTTTCCATGACGTTGATTCGATTTGGACATATTATTCTGTGTCCCGTCGTTTTTGCATAATAAACCCAACGGAGCATGTACGTAATCTATTTATGCTTGTCATCAGAACGAGTTTATCCGTTTTTTAGCAATTACAAATCCCACCACAATAATATATATATATAAAAAAAAATATATATATAAATAACACGGCTCACACAAACAATATATGAGTAAACCAAATATAATATAAAATATTATTTCTTAGGTATTTATATATTTCCAAATTCTATTTATAGTTGTTATTATTATAAGTATAGAGACCTATGTAAGACCATCGATTGAAATATTTATTCTGTATTAGAGTATACAATTTGCATGTTATAAGATGCAATTTATAGAATTAAGAATATATAATAGAAGAATTTTCTAACAATTCTTCTATTAGCTATGGAATTAAGCTAAACAATGGATAAAATAGGTATCCTGTACAGTTAATAGGTTTTGAGAGTATACTTCGTTATTAAGTAAGTCACTGTAATAAAGTTTTAAATCTGAATTTAATAATAAATCATTGCATATAGGTACGAAAAACGATTCTGAGCGAAGACGGTCTGCTAACTGTCAGCCTCTACCCATAATATATTACTATATTTTATGATGATATTACAATATTAGTTATATTGTTATCTGCTATAGTAATTTACAGTTATAAGTAGGTAATTTTTATGGGGTGTCACCAATGGGTGACTTCCCCCCAAACGTAAATCATCCTCATAAAATTTACTCATTATAATATACTATATTGTAATTACAGATTGTATATGAAATTTTGTTCAATAAAAAAAAAGAAGTAGCTAATTAATTTTTGCCGAAAACCTTTTAAAAATGCTAATTTTGGAAAATCCTTTTTTATTGGATCACTTCATGGTGGCAAGGGATACCACAAAATTGCCAAGACTGTAGGAATAATAGTTAAGGTTTTACGTTGATCAGTCATTCAGGACACGCTCGATTATTTGTATATAGATGCTTGAAAATAGAGCCTGGCACACAGTAAGTTCTTCTCAGAATTGTTTTTCGTATGCAATAATTTATGACTGAATTCAAATTAAACACAGCTATAACAGTTGTAAACAGTACCTAAGGTTAAGCCACTTAATGGCTGTGGTTCAAAAGGCAGGAACTTATTATAGTACTTACACTCAAAACCTACTACACAACAAACCGACTTCCCAAGTTTATTTCTTATATTAGTTTTATTTAATATTTATATGACAGCTATCCTATTCTGTATTCATAATGTTCATGTGATCAAATTTCAAAAACCTAATATCCTGAATATAAAAGCCACGTTAGAGAACCATTAAATATGTTGGCTACCTTTTATTTGTTACAGTGACTTAGGAATTTTCCACTGTCAGATGCTGTATATTATACATTATAAATATTATACAGGATATTAATAAAATATATTACGTAATATATAAACTACACTGTGCTTTATATTATATTGGCATTGTCGCACACACGCAAAACCCAATAATCGCCATGCCTTTGACACGCCATGTGGAAAATACATCGACTCATAAAAAGGCCAAAGGGTCCGAAAAAAATTGAATAAGAATACTTGCTTACAGACTATAATGCTTACCTATAAAAGCCCCTAAGGTGAGTATAGGAACAAAGTATAGCTATACTCTTGTATTTTATATATTATGCAATGTATAGATTTTATATGTATATTATTATACCACATTACAAAGGCTTTTTTATTATAAAGTTATAAGTTCTATATAAAGAGTTATTATACAATATCTGGTGAACTATTCAGCGTATTATACGTTTTCCAAAGTAAATATTTATATGTTTAAAGATTTATTTCATTTTATTAATAAAAAGTAGTTAAATAGGAATAGTTAGATGATTTTTAAATTAGGTATACAGGGTGTCCCGTGAGGATTTACTCATTGCGATATCTCCTGAAATAATGGAGATACCGTAATTATGTTTTTTTATTAAGACTCGCAGGGGTAAGCACTACAAATATTTTATTTTTTAATTAAATTAAATTTTTTAGTAAAAAAGTTAAAAAAATTATTTTTTATTTTTTTATTTTTAAAAAAATTGAAGATAGCCATTCTATAGAGTATATTTTTGTGAACATTTTGAGCTTTTAACATTTTATTTTCATTAATCTCATGATTTTTAATAATTTTTTTAGTTTATTAGTAAAACGTCAATAAACTGGTTTTTGTCCGGGCGGCGAGTCCCCCTCTACGGCTAATGAGTAAATCCTCACGGGACACCCTGTATTCTTGTAAGTTGTAATTACATATGAAACATAAACACAATACTCTCTGGAACTTTCTGGTTTATTTCGATTCCCGGGCATTTCAGGGAGTGCCAACCATACCTATAATCTGTAGTTTTGTTACTAATAAATGAGCATAATTATTAAAACTTAACATATTAAAACCAACAAATATTTACTTTTGAAACTATTTAATTTTAATTATGTTTATATAATTTATTTATATATATTATATCTATTTTCTTCTTGTTTTAATAAGTAATAAGTAGGCAATAAATAATTATTTTAATAATAACAGATTTTTATTCAATCTTCTAACTTATTTAGTAGGTACCTGCATAAAATTATAAATATTTATCTACACAGAAATTGTATAGCACCTACCTACTTTCCTAGTCATAATTAATAAATCATTATAATATCTAAAAACTAACTCTAACAAGTCTTTGAAACAAATTTGAGAAAATTTGTGACCAATTTTATAAATAACAGATTATTTTAAATGAATATCCTTAATAATGTTAAATTAACTAACCTTGTTGAAGGGTTTACAATATCCAAGTTAGGTTCATCAAGTAAACTGTTGCCAAGATGCTGAAAAACAAAATTTAACATGTCTAAGATTCACAATGAACAAAACTACCTTTGATGAGAAGTCATGGGATAAGTTTAAGCATGGAAACTAAATTGGAATTCTTCTGTTTTCTCATTATGTAAACTATGCGGACAAGGCTGAAAAACAATGAAGGGTTCTAAAGGGATTTGCATTTATAAAAAAAAAATTATAATAATAAAAAAAAGTAAAAGGAATAATGAAAAAATAAAAAACTTTGAAAATATTAAGACTGTGGATTGGAATGTCAATAAATAAGAAGAACTAATCGGAAAATTAAATAAGAAATTCATATCGTTTTTACCACAGCAACTGAGCAACCTGATGATATCAAGATATTTTTAAATTAATTTAATAAAAATAAAAAAAGTATAAGCTATATTCACTTGTCATAATACTATGAAGTATAAGCTATAAATCAATGGTAATCCATCCAATCAAAACCATATTCTACATCTCAAAAATACAAAAATATGGTTTTTATTTTATTTTATGAAAATTGTTAAATATTAACATAATGTAATTGGTATTGAAAATCATTCTTAAATGTTACTAATAAAATGATCTATTATTTGAGTCATCCTCTTAAAATTATAATAATGCAAATTCTAAAAATGTATTTTATTCATCAAATTTTGTTAACTTATAAGTTTATAAATTTGTATAGTTAATAAAGTCTAATTTATTAATTATATATACCTATTATAGAAAATTTCATATTGACAATATTATGAGAGGTATAAGTGACAAGTTTAATATTATCATTTAGAAGTATAATGAAGTTAACATTTGATTTTCTTCATGCAAATAGTACTCTGTATAAAAAGAAACCCAATGAAAATATGTACTCTATCAAGCGTCTTGGTGAATTTAGGAAAAATATGATATTATACAGAAACATAGAATATTAATTATGTTCTGATTAACTGATTTTCTTGATGAAACCATAAATATAATTCCAGTATTCCTTGTATCAATCTAACAATTTTTCCTCTATTCAATAGCAGCATCATAAAAATGTTCTGTTATATGTATTAAATATATGACATGTCAAGAATATGGTTAAAACTTAAAGATTTAGTAATTGGATAAATCAATATCAATATGTACCAAGATTAAAACGAAGTAGCACAAAAAATATTGCATCAAAGAAAAAAATAAATAAATTACCGTAAAGGTAAGATTAGTTTTAATTTTTAGATAATATTATAAAGAAGAACCCTTTTTTAAATAACAATTTATTACCATAGAAATCAAAATGCAAGTAAATATGTCTCATTCCTAATTTGGACACTTAAATTCAACTTTTCACATTGTTTTAATATATTGTATATTTAATCAATGCTTTTGAACTCATATTAATAATAAAATATTAAAGTAGGCCTTACTTTATTTGCGTTCTTGCTATCAATGACATAGACTATTCCTGAAAATTTATACATTTAGATTATTTCATTATTTTAAGTACTATAAGAAGCATATAACATTCCTTATTTGTCAAAATCAATATAGTAAAATTAATTGATTTTTATATTAATTTAATGTTTAATATTATTATTAATTGTGCAGTATTAAATTTAGATATGTAATAACAATACCAATGAATTTTAAGTTCACATAGATATTCTTAACTTCAAGATTTTTTTCTTACAAGAGTAAACATCATTGATAATGCAACATTCCTACTAAGTAATGAAAAGTACACTTGGTAACTAAATATTTAACATAATATCTACATTATGATGTTCTAATATTTCAAATATCGATACACATACACAAAAATATTATTTAATAATATCACTCACTATTAAATTTTCAATCAAATACCTAATAAAAACTTATTGAATTCCCAGTAGAAAATGTCTTTCTGTTATTTTCTGAACCAACTTCTTTTCATGAATCTTAAGTGGACGCCACACCCGCAAGTGTTGTCTCCGTCTTACAAGTGCATAACAGCAAATTTATGCTCAGCAGATCACATTTAGCTTCGTTAATTTAAAAATTAGAGTAAATCAACTTATTAAGAAACTTGATGGTAAGAACATCATCTGTGCTTGTATGTTTTAAGATAGTTCATTTTTTTACTTAAAAACTTAAAAAAGCAACATTTGAACACAGAGAATGTTCTTACCAACAAGTTTCATAATAGGTAGATTCACTCCAATTTTCAAACTAACGGGGCTAAACGTGATCTACAGAGCATTAATTTGCTATATTACGCACTTGTAAGACGGAGACAACACAGCGGATGTGGTGTCCTTTCAAATAAATACATTTTTAAGTAAATGATATCAATGATATCTACCTATAGGTAGAATTTAATATACAATAGTATTGTTTGATTACTTGAAATTGAGTTATTTAATAATCATAAATTTATTTTATATTTTTATGATATAAATAATTAATAATAAATTTATTTTACTAAAACTATAATATTTCTAGATTAATGTGAGAAATTTGATTTACCAACCATCTAAATGAACATCACTTCCCAGTTCGGTATCAATCCAAAATAATTTTGCAATAGGTCCTAAAAATGTAAAAGAATAAATGTATTTGTTGCTTTTTACATCAGCTAATCTATTTGAAATGTTCTAAGTTACCAGGATCAGCTAATCCTGTAGTTTCTAACAATATATAATCAAATTTTCCACGTTTGGACATAAGGTTTTCGATTGCTTTCACACCGTTATCTTTGACGGAACAACATAAGCAGCCATTTTGTAGTTCAAGCCATTCTTCACAAAGGTTTCCCTTTTCACCAACAGCAATTGATTTTTCCATAGTATCACCTTCAAAAAAATAACAATTAACATTATAAATAAGTAAACTCAATAAAATGTTATTGTAAAATTGGTACAAAGTATTTTTACAGTTTGAAAGATAGGTTTAGGATAAATATTTGTTGAGCAGATATAAAAAACTAATAATGATGATACTATTGAATAATATAGTATTAACACGTTGAATGCATACTGACGCAAATTGGCGTCATAAGGATCATTCAGCAACGTGTTTGACGCCCAACATACAAGTAAATGGTTTATTATTCCCTAAGCTTAGCTGAATTTTATTTTATTATTTTTTAGCTTAGATTAAACAACATTTTTAAATATGTATACAGACGTCCTTATGAGCAGTTTCTTTATTATTTTTTTTAGAAGACTTGTTTTTACATATATTATGATATCTATCATACATACTGGGTGAAAACTGCAAAAAGACATATTTATGAAGGCAACATGTTAAATGCAAAATGTGATATTACATACCTTCGCCAAATTCGTTCAATATGACAGCGATTTTTTTATTGTGTTGTTCCGTAAGTATATAATTTAAAAGAGTTGTCTTGCCAGACCCTAAGTAACCGGTTATAATTGTCACGGGCACCGGATCCAATGTAATAGCTGTCACCAATGATGGGATTTCATCGTCCGAGTCCATTGTAATTATTCTGCAAACTGATTTATCTAACACAAAGAACATCAATTAAATTAATTAGGTAGTCAAACTCTATTAGATATTATTATCCCAGATTATAAAATAGTACTAAATAGTATTTATAGTCAATGATATATTAGTATATATAACTATGTATAAAAACAGAAAGTGAAAATCACAAACCCACTCGGTACACACAGTTTATCCTTGGATAGTAAGTTTCACTTAGAAAATTAAATACGTGTGTTAAGACTTAACCTAATCAAGAAAACAGTAATTTGTAGGCAGAGCGAGCACTGAGTAGAACAACACAGTACAACTTGAAATCGTTTAAAAATAATATTTTGAAATAAAAAACGTTATCATATTCACGAACATCTTTTATTGATTACATTTATCATTAATAATATTATCAGTAGCTCTTAATATTTACTAAAATGAAGTTGACAACAATTATGTTCGTATCGAGTATTTCCGGGCAGGTTCCCAAAATATTAATATAATAATCATGAAGATTAGAGATATCTAATATCTCTAATCTTCATGATAATAATACAACCAGCTGCCAGACAATACGTACAGCGCCATCGGACGGTGGATGCATAAACTGTAAAAGTTCACGACTTCACGTTGGTAACGAATAACTGTTAGAGATGGCGTTAGTCATTTTGTCGATGGACAAAATAATGAAAATTATGTGTGGACGACCTGTTTCAGGGCTACTGATTGAAGTGATGTTGTGGCTGGTGTTGGTGGTGTGCACTGGTGCGTGACAGTCCCTATACAAACTGGGACACAGGGTACACATTAGCTATTAAACGTCACGTCAATACCCAGACACCCAGTGGGGCGAATAAGATTTGTGCTTTTGGTACCTAACCTATATTTTATATCCAATTAATGGTTATCGCCTATCGGACAGCGTACATGCCTACAACATTAATACCGCGATTATCAATACACAAGCACCTGGCGGCTTGGCACACAGATGATCACATGACGTCCAAATAAAATCACAGGTTTGGCTGTAAAAGAATGACGACAATTATTTATAACAGATTCTGATTTGAAATGTACCACACTATTTTAATTTTTAAAAATAGGTTACGGACCGTGCGATACCAAACATTCTTTTTAATTAAAAATGAAATAAATATAAATAAAATTAATTCTTTAGTGGGTGGAAACCCACACTAGTCTCTACACCCCGCAACAACACAAAAGCGCCACGGCAGTCACTACTTTTTAATAATTTTACTGAAAACGCTTTAAAATTTGGAAAATCATAAAAAAGATGAGCAGCAGTTAGCTACTAAAGAAATATTCAAATATCCTAACCAATTTTGCATTTCGGGTTGGGCACTAGGCAGGTATACCTACTATAAATCAAATGTGTAGAAAAACATTTAAATCCAATAACTTCTCTATCCTATATGATGGAGTATTGACTGCAGTCATAATAATTTATTCAAATGGTTGCCAATACTAATAAGATAACGAACGTTGTAGCTGCAGAGTATATAGCTGATATATTAGGTAGGTAGGTACAAACATAAATTACATTATTACAATGAAATGTGAACAACAATTTAGATTTTAGGCTATTTACCATATCAAAATCTGCGTATTATATTAATATAACGAGAATATTATATTTTATTCATTTACCTACATCGAGGTAGGAATTTCGATATTATAATTTATATACGACGAAGATATTATATTTTCTATTTATAAAACTCAGTGTTGTGGTTGAAATATCGCTTTACTTTGTAGAAACCAGAATGTATTAAAGTGAGTTACGTTAGGTACCAATACCTGCATCAATAATGTCTACGTCTTAATATCCTCCAAACATACCTACTACCGACTGAGGAACTATATTATGTATTCACTATTCACGTTCATAGTTCATCATCGGATCGACACGTCGTATAGTCAGTGGTAAAACAATAAATATTGTTGGATGGAGGGGTAGGGGAGAAAAATTTAAAGATAAAAGATTCTAAATCCAAATAAAAGTATAAAACATTACTTTTACCATAATATATATATATATATATATATATATATATATACACACATAAATATATATTAGGTAGGTATTTATTATATATTTTATTACATTGATTAACAGTAGTTATCCATAGACTAAAAGACGCGTGATTAAAAAGGGGATAGGGTTGTGACCAAGAGTTTTTGTTTTCTCGGCTATAGATTAAAATATAGTTAGGCACTTTAACATATTAATATATATTATAATATAGGTAATATAAATGTTTTAGTTAATACAAAGGTCGCGGTATTTGAGGTCATTAACAACCAACAATTAAAAGTCGCATACGTATGGTACAATAAGAGTTCTAATTATTTTACGTCGGTTGATGTCATTTAAATTTAATTACATTAGCTACATTGTCTTTGGTGACTGGTGAATGCTTTATCCCAAGAGTTTGCTGCAGGAATGTATTGTAAGTTCGTTGGTGAATTTCTGTCAATATTAAGGGATATGTTTGACGTTTATTTAAGTAATACATTTTTCATATATTGGCTGAAGTTCTTTTCAAGGAGAAAAACGTTAGTATATTTTGGTATGTCTGGGACGTAAACGTGAGTTTTGCCAATTTTTCTTTTAACCATTTTATATAGTTTGTGTCTATAAAAATATTAGGTAGGTACCTATAGTTAGGAAGGACTTAGTGTGATTACAGCGATCTGTTTTGTGTTATTGTATTATTATTTATTTGGTACTTTATCATCACAATCATTTTTCAATCATGATTGGATACTTAAGTATTTTAATCTAATTTAGTAGGTAGGTGGTTGAGTGGTTCATTCATGTGTGTGTGTAGTCGTGTAGCTTAAGAAAAAGCTGAATTTGTGTATGATGAAATGTCTATTATATAAAAAGTTAACTTCCTAAAAATTACAGTACAGAGTTCTAATATTATATAAACATGTAATAATAATACAACACATTCAATTGGGTTGAAACATTAATATTTTTTTTAATAAAAATTAAAAACAATAGGAAGATCAAATAAAAAAAGAAAAAAATAATTTACACATTTTCATAATTTTTATGAACTTGCAGGTCACCATTTCAACGCTTCAAAAAACAATAATATTGTGAATATATTTTTGATTTAGGTACCTGCTACATATAATATTACTATATAATATGAACAATGCTATGAACACCTACAAAAAAACACACAAAACATACAGCACTCACTGAAATCCTATAATCACTCAACCATCATCCAAACAAATCCCAGGTAATCCACCCAGGAGCCTGAAAAGGAACTGGTGTACCTACTCTCTCCTTAAATCGATTTCCACGGGGTGTCACCATTGGGTGACTTCCCCCTCCCGTTAATCATCCCCATCACATTTACTTATTGTAATATATATAATTATAGATTGTAAATAAAATGTTTGTTCAATAAAAAATTAAAAAAATGAAAATATTATGAACAATATGTGGAAACTTAAATTAAATTGTCAAGTTTTTTTACAAGGAAAAATTGTATTAATATAAATATCAAAAAAGTTTTACTTTTCATGTCTGTAAATAGCTTAAATAGGACCAAAATAATTTTATATCGTATAGGTATCTAAGGCATGTCTATGAGTTTAGTGTTTTTTTTCCTTCAAGGATGATTTAAAACAATTTAAATTTGAATGACAGAACAAATAATAATTTTCAGACGCGCCCACGATTCAAACCCACGCGACTGGACACCTCTCGGAGCGGTCAATATTTCCCAGCTGGGCGATCGCATAATAGGAATCACTTATATTTAAGAGGATGTCAGCTCACTATTTGTTTTCTCTCTCTAGTTCACGCACAACACAGGCAAAAAGCATTTATGCAGAATCGTTTTTTCTATGTTTTTAAGTAATCTTAGAGTAAAATTACCTATTACAAAAAAGATAGAGCATATTATTTTTGAGGGAATAACAATTTATTGATTTGTTTAAATATTGTTTCAAAACAATTTAAACATAATTTAAATTCATAACATTTTTTTGTTTATTTTGAAAGTCGAATACAAAGTCAGATATCAATAAATTATATAATCGATATGTCATTCCCTCTGAAATATTATTCTCTATCTTTTTTGTAATGGGTGATTTTACTCTAAGATTACTGAAAAACATAGAAAAAACGATTCCGCATAAATGCGTTTTACCTATGTTGCGTGTAGGCTAGAGAGAGAAAACAAATAGTGCGCTGACATCCTCTTAATAACAATAGGTATGTATAAACTAGGTTTAAATTTGGATCGCTTTGAGTGCATAGGAATCGTACCTTAATATTACTATTTGGGAATAAATGCCAAGTAGGTACTTATACCTATACGATTATATTTTAAAAAGTACCTACGTACTGGTACTTTTAACTTCTACTATAGGTACTTTATAAATTTAATAATTGTATATTTGTATACGATAAAGTATCTTAAATGTTAAAATTAAAGCATGTTTATTGCTCCAATATTATGACAGACACAAAAAACAAATCACACGTCATTGTAAAATCATTAAACCAATATACATTCATCAAATTATTACTCTAAAATGTAGATTTAATATAATTCTGAATTGTTTGCGCCTTGCGCGTTATATAATTATACCATGTACTTATAGGAGGTACCTACCTATTATTTAAGAAATATTCAAGATATTTTTAAATATTGGACCATTAGTAATTACTTATATTAAATTAAAAGATTTTGAATATTAAATATTAATTTCTAAAAGTATTATAATTCCTTGCCTTCTTTTATTTTAATACCAGTGTTTTGTAGTGTTTTTAACAGTTATGTTATCCAATCACTAAAAACTTGTCACAACAAATTATTTCGAAGAACTTAAATTTTTTTGAAAAGCACTAATTATACTGTTTTCTCAGAAAAATTTCATGGATTATAAGTTTTTATCTGGAATTGGGGTCAACATCAGAAACAGACTTAGATGCTACTTGTCTTGATGCATGT